GGAATCTCGGTCTGAGATGCGGGCCCCCGCCGCTCTAGTCCGCGGTGCCGGGAGCGAAGGGTATTGCCCCAGGGGGAGGGGGCGCCGCGGCGGAGGCCGGGTCAAAGCCCCTACCCTGACGCCTGGGAGTTTAGCGGGGAGCCGGGCGGCCGCGGGGGAACCGAGCCAAACCCCCTGTGAAACTAGCGCGCAAGTGCCAGCACGCAGGATTTGCTGTCAAGCTGGGGAGGCGTCGGGATGGAGCGCGGCCCAGCTGGGAGGAGCCCCGCGGAGGTGCTTCTGGGCGGCGCGAGTTCCCCACCACCTTGGCTTTAACCCCTGGAGCCCCGGAGGGACCCTGGGGATTTGAGAGCAGGAGGCAGGGACCGGGCCGACCGGATCGCCGGAGGCAGTCCAGTGCACAAAGGCGAGCGGGGAGCCTCGCACGAGCGCCTCTCACGGTCGCTGCCAGATGCTCCGAGCTCTGCAGCGAGAAGCGCCGGTTTTGTTTCTCCCTGGAGAGCCGGGCTCTTCCTGGATCCTTGCCAAGGGCAGCAGAACCAGGACCTCATCGTGTTTTGTGTTGGGATTGCACACGGCACCGCAGCTGCGGGGAAGGTGTTGATAGAATGCTGGTGTTTTCTCACTTCAGTAGTTCCTATCATCAGCATTGTTGCAGAGCCTAGTACTTAATGGGCTCTAATTCCCAGACATATCATGGCATTTGCTATACCTGGTGGGCAGGACAGCTGGTTTGGTACCAATAATTAGTACTAGTAACACAGCTCCCCGCCCCCAGCTCTATTTGGACCTAAGGCATGGTAAGAAGTATTTAGGCGTGAGGGCTGTGAATCTGATCCAGTCGTTGATAGGAAGCTCTGTTTAGATCTTAGCTACTGGTTACCAGGGACTTCTGTGTACAAATCCCCTACCTCCCCGAGTCTCTTTTCATTATCTGAAAACAGAGAATAGAGAGCTAGATAATGTGCATCTCTCCCAGCCCTTTGCTTCTTGGCTTTAGTACATTGGACAAGCAAGTCTTTTTGTTTCCCAGGATGTTGGCTGGCTTCAGCTCTTAGTCCCAGTGGATCTGGCATCCCATGCAGGGGTTTTCACCACCCACAAAGCAAGCCAGGTTCTGGACAGAGCCACTGCTTCCTGGTGGATATAGGAAGGAGACTCATTTGGGCAGGGGAGGGGCATGGATGGGCTTACAGGAAAGCTGGGTTATCCCTCCCCCTTCTCAGGCTTCCAGAGTCACAGGACCACCAACGAAGATTTTTCGATTAGGCCCCCAAAGGGCAAAATTGACTTTTTCTTTTTTTTTAGCAGAAAAAAATCACATTGGTTTTCAAAGGAAACCAAATGTGGGCAGTTTATAGTTAGAGGCTATGCTTCACGTGTGCAGATAAATATCGCTTCAGATATTTCCAGGTATTTAATTCAAACTCTGTGGTTTGTAGTCTCTGCATACATAGCATCTTGTCTCACACACAGTAGTCACCCAATAAAGTGTGTTGCATGAACAAATGAATATGCACAGTTTCCAAGGAGATGAGATTCCCTGACATTTATTACCGCTGAATTACCTGTGCACAAAGAATGTCAACTTTATAAACATTGCCTTTCACCAAATTAAAGATAATCACCTGAAATGAAGTCTGTAGTGAGATAATCACTTGTATTTTTACTTAATGAAACAAAACCTATGCATGTTTAACTAAAATATAAAGGCTTGAAAAAACTGTGATTAAGAAAATTATTCCATAATGAAATCTTTGTTCGAATTGAGATTTATACCAATGGAAAAAAGGCATAAGGGAATTCGTTAGAATCCCATTATGTTGTTTGAGAGACAAAATATTAGTTAATTAAACCCAGCTACCAAGCACTGCTTAAATTCTAAGAATAGACTCTTTTCACTAAAAATGGTTTGTCATTCATTCATGAGCAAAAAACATCGAGCAAGAGCCATTGCATCAACAGCTAATCATTTCAAGTATCTTTAACATTTTCCATTGCATCTCGAGCTTTTCATGGCAAATTTCTAAACAAGACTATTTTTTGATGAATATTTGACATTTTCTTTGCCCACTAAGACATTTGTTTAGTTCAGGTTGTGAAAATAATTTCATGTGCCTTATGCCTCTTGATACATTTATTTTTGCACCTGCTATCAATTTAACTCTGGAGATAAGATCTAAACCAAGTCTCTAAAATCCCTAATGTCTTTTTTTTTCCTTTCTAAAACTTTATGAATATTAAGAGATTTAGGAAAAATTAGATGTTCCTAACTTCTCTTATATAGAGAGAAAAACTGAATAAATTTTGTCCTTTGGATGGCATTCACACCCTCTTTAGCCTCCTAGGAGAGGGGCAAACATTCAGGAGAATGAAGCAATTCTCATAAGGGGTCTCCTTTTCCCCCAGCAGTCATACAGTGTGCATCGGCAAAGCTCTGCCAATTTTGGTGTAGGAAAGAACATCAAGTGCAAGTACACTATGTGGGGCCTCTTTGCACCAAGAGAGAAGATAATTCATTCCCCACTTTTTAAGGCACAGTAACTTAACAGTTCCTTTTCCATTTTCTCTCTAGCTCCCTCTTTTTCTCTGCACCTACTATGTGCAGGCCCTATGTGAGGCCTTAGAGATGCATTGTTAATTAAAATAAGGCCCTGTTTCTAAGAGTCATATAATTCAGGTGGGGTGGGGAGTGGAGAGAAGGAAACTGTCCCCGCTTAGTGTAGCTCATATTCCACTTATGATGAGGTCCTTGCACCAAGTGCCCTGTTCCACGTGGTTACAGTGTAATTCCATTGTCAGGCATCCCTTGTGCTGATAGATCCTGCTCAGGTAGGAAGCAGCTTCTCCCTTCCACCCCCAGTGCACACACCAGTTAAAACAACCATAGTGGCACTTGGCCAGTTGATTTCTGATGGCTACTTAAAGTCACTCCAGCCCCCCTGAAAGTAAACAAAACCTTTGAACTAATGGCCACCAGGAATCCTCTAAAAGGTGGTTGGGGTGGAGAGGCAAAGGTAATCGTTGGATATAGATCCATAATTTCTTGATTTTAATGAGAAGTATTCACTTTTCATTAAGAAGATGAACATTTTTATTAATAGCTTCAGAAATGCCCCGAATGATTTTGAAATTTACTCAATAAGTTTCTGCAAAACCGTGGGTCACGGGTTCATCATTTTGAAGTGATAGGTTGAGATTATCATGTGCTTCAGAATTGGCCACATTTGCCAAGCATGGAAGCAATTTGTAGCGTGGAGCCAAATGACTACTAATAATAGAAACTTAGTCATTTAAGGATCACCATATCTTTCCTAAGTGATATGATTGCAGTGTAATTTCAGCACATGTGATTTACGGGATAATAATCATTCATGCCAGCTTTTAACCAAGGCACGTTAATGCACATTTTATTTCAGGAATATTATTAGTTTTAAAATACTCAATTCAGCTTCTGAAATTCCCCCACAATAACTATGCTTTTGCCTCATGAATACTCTTTTGAATCTTGTCATGGTACAAGCTTCTTTTAGGCCCTAAGTGCTAAAGTTAGCACTTCCTATATTAGTTTTTAACATTATTAACAGAACATGTAATATTCTTTAAATTTTATACTTAAAGGAAAAGGGAGGAAAGAAAAATCTTAATTACTTATGGCCTGAGTTGAAGAGCAAACTCCTTTACAAATATAAGACTATCTGTATTGTTATATTAGTAGCTTACACATAAGTTTAGAGAACGGTCTCTGTGAAAAGCACTCTATTGAAATATTTCATAATAGGGATGGAAATGTTTCAGCTGTGTTGGAGATTAGTGTATAATTAATTCAGAAAAGCAG